ATCTAAAATGATTATTACGTACATATATCAAATTTGAGAAGAGTGCTTCTTCTAGTGATATCTTGCTTTTCGTAATCCTTCAACGCAAAGACGGTAGCTGGTGTCGTGATGAGCTTTACTGACAACCTACGGAACTGGCGAAATTCGAGAGATGCTTTGTGCCCAAGGCGATGCTCAAGTGACGAGAGTGGGGCTTATAAGAAGGAAAAGATATGAATTTCCATAACGTAAATTAAACGCGATCAGATCAGATTTCATAAGTTCCAAATTATTATTCTGATATTTTCTCCTATTAGTGCAATTAAAGCCTGGGAAGTGGCAGATACGATGGAATATAACTTTTACACTAAACTTACGGATAATTTTTGAATAAAGATCTTCGAAAAAAAGCAAAACCTCAAGAGCTACGACGATTTTAGCCCCTGATATCATCAGGAATAAATTTGTGCAAATTTACATTACTTATGAAAAGTCTGTTGGAGACTGTGGTCCCTTCATCAAAAAAGTCACTGTAACTTTTGAGGTGTTGTCTTCTATAGGGGTCATATTCGAGTTTAAATCTGCAATGGATCATTGTGTGGTGGTCATCTCAAGATAAGACACATTCCAGTATCTTACCAAAAATGGCAGCAAAATTTTGCATCACCCGTGGATCCTTTTCAGCGCCCGGCACGCGTTGGTTTCAAGCTTTTTGACAACGAAGCCCACCCCATGACTTTGCGAGAATTTACGAAGTCCCTCTTGACGTAAATATCAGTAAGGAAATCCTTATCCAACCAAAATAACAATAAAAAGCCAAAAAAGCGCATTGAGTTATCTGGTGTACCCAAAATCAAAAAGGAAACACTTCGAGCCGATTAAAGGCTTTGCCATTAATATAGTACCATTTTAGTGCTTGAAATGTCGAAAACTTTTATACCAATCACATCTGTAATCCTCAACAATCCGGCGATGCATTTTTCGCCACATAGTTCAAAGGACAGCGCATGACTGGAGCGCGATATCTCTATCAACGCGTTGAATTACACTACTTTTGGTTCAAAAAAGAGGAGAGGCAATGGTTTGATTTGCTCTCTTCACAGTATAATAGATTTTTGACCGTTTTAATCGTCCAGATCAAAAAGGTTCAAACCTTATGTGAACTGTCCGATATTTATGCTCCGAACCAATGCATTTGGTTTGGTGTTGGTTCAGAAACCAACAAATTTGGGAAAGGGTATCAGGACAAATAAGTTTTCGGAACTTTTTAGAAAACGTAGTTTGGAGTAATATTGCATACACATAGCCCAAATTTGGAGCCATGTAATTGTTTGTACGCTGTAAAAAGCTATTTGTTTGTCTGAGTCTTGCGTTTGAAATTGCGCGCTTACGAAAGAACATGTTTAACTCGTAAAACCTGACATTCATTCAGGAGCTTATAAAAACGACATCTCCGTTGCTTCTAGCTTCAAAAACGAACTCCCGTTTGACCCCAAACCATTTGTACCAAACCCCGATCCCTATTCAAAGCACATTCCCATATCATTTTTTACAACTCCTTTTTACAGCGATTTTTCAAAGATTTTTCGTTTTGAACAGAGTTTGAGAAATCACCTACTGCTTAAGATATGTGGTGGTGAATGCGAGTTATCCCAAATATAGCCAGCCCACAAGTGCGCTTGGAGAAAAATTGAGATCTCTATCGCGGGAGTTGCTGCGGCACAACAGGATGCAATCAGAAAACGTGGCACAATTAAGTCCAGTCGTTTATTGACTCGAAGTTATTTAGAAAAACGAAAATTCTATTCGGTGCTCCCCAACTCGAGTAAGGAGCTAGATAATGAAGCAAGAGGAAATCAAATTAGCCCCTTTTTGAGCATTCTTGCGACCCGCCTAAGACAAGATTTCCCTTTTATCTAAAATCTCAAGTTACTGCTCCCTAATAAATATAGAATATTAGAGAAGAGGGTATGCAGTACATACTAGCTCAATTTAGACTTCATACCATTTCTGGTATTCCATCCCTGGTCGAAAATCGCACTCAAATGTTGCTCATTCGCTACTTAGTGAATGCTATCAAGTGCAAAAACATTTGAAAGTGATGCTTTGTCATTAGCCAATACATCAAAAAATGAAATAAAAGGATTCAAAAACCGAATTTAGCACATATGCAAGGAAAACAATGTAATTTTTGTAAGTAAATGAGCAGTGTTGAGATAGTAAGCGCGGCAGTAGTATGTAGTGCTCCTTCGATAAAGACCATAAGGTGACCAAAGTGAACGATGGCAGTAAATTTTACGTTTACATTCGTTAATTATTCGCACGCGTATTCTTACATATTCAAAGCAATTTATTTGATCTGGTTCTCCGCTGATCTAGAGACATGGTCGAAATGTAAAACATTAGACCCTCTTGAAGTAACATGTTTTAGAGTTTCTTGAAATATCATCGTGCGTACATCTAGACTTGTGACTTGAGAAGTTGAAATCTAAGCTCGCACAGTAGCGGCACTATCGTTCATATCGTTCCCTACACTATTCAGTGATAAGATCCACCAAAAGTCAAAATCTCTATGAACTACGCTCCGAATTTCTGCTTAGACCGTGGACATACCTCACGCGATTTCAGTCGCCACGCGATCAGGCAATTTGCCAGATTTCCACTGTTCAATACTGGTAGACCTCAAATGCACAGCATGTTTAACTTTCATAGGTTAATAAAATGCAACTCAAAAAATCAGATCTGATTTCTTACTAAATGATGACTTTATTTCTTCCTACCAGTAGCTTCGTTGCCTATAGTTTAGTATCTGGACTTCGCTTTAGTGAGCTTTGTTCAGATTCTGCCTGCAATTCGGATCTTTTTCGTACATTCAGAAACCCATTAAGATGAGTTATGCACAACTGGAGTATTGTCAAATCGCGTGAGGTACACCCAGGGCGTTATGTTTCTTATCTACTGCAGTTTTTCCATTTATTTGAATTTGCGAATTTTGCAGATCCTTTGACATCACTTAGATTTGCCTTTGTGGAAATTTATTTGTGGTAAGCTCACATTGCTGTGACCTGTGTGTTCAAAGAGAAACGTCCAAGAGCGCTCACAGCTCTGTAATAGTAAACAGAGAGATCCGAATTGCAGGCAGAATCTGAACAAAGCTTACTTAAGCGGAAGTTTAGATACTAAACTATGGGCAACGAACGCTACTGGTAAGAATAAAAGTCATCATTTAGGAAGAAATCAGATACGATCTACAGCAAAGGGTTCTTGGTGCACCGGAAGGGGTTTAATTGATTATTTATTGAATATTCAGCCAACCCTACTACATTTTGAAAAGATGGTGAATGAAAGTAATATTTTGTCGCAAAGTCACCACGAACGGCGTTTTGTATTATCCTCAACAGCTTGACGTTTTTCCTTTTTTCGTTTTTCCGTTTTTCCGTTAGCTGTCTCCGGAAACGGAAAACGGAAACGTCACTATAGATGCGATAAGGATCTAGCAGTACTAAACATATCTGAGAGAAACACGCAAATCACCAAAGTAATGGGGTTTTGGAAAATTTGGCAAACCCTCAACATCATGGACGACAGCACGCTTTCGTTTACTTTATTCTCAGTAAAGTGTAATAGTTCGTTAGAATACCGAAGCGAAAAATTGAGAACTGTAAAAAGGAGAGTAAAGCATTTAGAGCTCAATCCCCACGGCGGAAATTTCATGCGTGTGACCCCAATAAGAAGTGTTCAGTCCCCAGTAGATCACAATACATTGATATTTGATTTTTTGCTTGCCACGTTAGTGCTGTCACTAAATATCATGAAACTTCTATTGATACCATTGTCGCATTGACGCATTCGAACATTTTCGTTCCTAGTAATAAGACAGGTCAAGTGCACTTTGCGTTAATATGATGTGACTAAAAATTGCTGTCAAACAAACAGGAAAGGGCTTAACGAGGCACCAAACATGAGAGTATTTTTGGGAAACGTACCGTCGTAATGAATAAGTGCAACGGAACTTGATTGTTCAAGTACTTGAATGTTTCGTACATAATTTTCGAATGCTCCTAAAATGTATAGCACAGCTACTGAACTTAAGCTACGCTTTGACACAGAATTAATTTGCAATGTTTTTCATACGATCTATTGTCGCGAAATTGCGCAGTCAAATAGAGCAAACCCTTCTCAACAACATTAAATAGTAACATTTTTTCATTTGAAACCCTACTAAGACCGAATTGATAAATCAAACAATGCTAAGAATTAGGAAACAAAAAATAGAGAGCACATTAGAAAACGCCTAACACTTTCATTTTTCTAGATGCGCATGGAGAGAAGCAGATGACCCTTAAGTTCATTTCGAAGCCATTTTTATGAATAAATCTTAGTAAGATCCTTTCTATCATAAATAGAGAGGGTTTTTTTTAAAAAAAACATTCCCCAAATTTCACTGTTGATTTTCAGAAGTTTACTGCCTATACATAGCGACTATCTCTAAAGATTTGAATTCCGTTGTAGAATGGCCTTTGAATGCAGCCGCTTCCAAATGATAGCACAAAGTACGTTTCACACTCACAAATGGATTGGCTTAGAAAGGTTCTGGCTCGTTTAGCAGAAGAGGAAAATAGCTTTTGGTAGAGTACACTTTTCGTATATCTGGTATTATGGCACTATTGGAAAGATTATAATTCATGCACCTTGCATGATGTGAGTGTGATGTGAACTGTCAAAAAATGAAAGTATTTTACTCGAATAAATCCCAAAATTTACGGCCTATAAACACGAAAAGAGAACCTTCTGCTCGGATTTACAGGTTCTCGAATTTCAGAGAAATTTTACTGTTACAAGTTTCAGAGTCAAACAGTAAAATAATGTGCCCTTCGTTGCTAAGCTACACGTTGAGAGTAGACCGGTTCATTATTCTAACGACAGAAGGCAGTATAGGAACATAAACAATATCAATCTACTGGATCCTGATAGGTTGCAGAGTTGACGCTGATGACGGGGCAAACAGCAGCCCAGGGATATCAGAGGCGCCGCCGGTCGGTTACCGGACCTTGGAGTTTCTCCCCGAACCCCGCGCGTATCGGCCACGCCCTAAAAAGCATGACTCAGCACCGAACTCAATAGGGGTGCTTGTGCTCACACCTCCCCACTTTATTTTAAGTCCGTCCCGGACTTGAAACAAATGCTACAATGAATAAAAATAGGGGAGCTACAAAAACAAAGGAACACAAAGAACTATATACAAGTAATGAGAATGAATTTGAAAGCGCACTCACCGTGGATTTTCAAAATAGTCTTTAGAAATACCGTCCTAGGTCAGATCGGCTGACGATGGCTCCTATCGAGGTTGACCAACTGATGACCCTGTTCCAGTAAGGGATCTTTTGTAGCATTCGGACATGTCCCAGGATGAATTGCCCATGACGGCATCGCGAAATTGCCACATTCATTCTTCGGTAGTCGTCCAGAAACTCCGCTGAATTAGGATCAACATTAGTACGTGTCGTAAGAATAATAGCTACCTCCTTTTCACGTCCTTGGACGGAATCTACCGTTGACAAGTCCACGCCTAATTCCACGGCCCTTGAGCATTGCCGCCGGTATTGCTCTCTATAGAATGTGATTATGCAAATGGCATCCGCCGCTATGCCCTTTCCGAACAATCGGTCAACTACGTCCCAACACGCGAGCGCTTCAGCCTCATTGTAGAGCGATTTGCTAGCAGCCCTTGCCGAAGTTGATGGGACATCGACCAAACATAAAGGGAATCGAGGGATGAGGAAAAGTCATTACCGACAGCAGCATTTGCCGATCCTCTCGCCGTAAGCCGCTAACTAGTTCGCCATTGTACGCCACACGGTTCGGCAGCTCTATGAGATCCGGGTGTGCGCGGAAAGTTGTTAGTAAAGGGGCTACGGGAACCGCGCGTGCTCTTGTCAGCACACTCATCACGCTCTGCGCCCCGAAACGCACTGGATTTGATGAGCGGGGCCACTTAGCGTGAGGTTCCAACTGATGAACGTCGCCTATGTACACGTGCCGACGAGCAGGTAGGCGGACTGCTAAAGCCATCAGCACTGGTTCCGGTATCTGTGAAGCCTCATCACCAATTAACACCTTGAAACCTTCCACGTGCTTCTTAAAGATACCCCCTGGACCGCTAACGTTCAACATGGACGATGTCGTCGCTAAGATCACGTTAGGCTTCATGAGGCGAAACAATAAGTCTACCATTTTCTGCACGTTCCTTGAGACGAACCTTTCACTGATGAAGTATTCTTCCCGATCCTCCTCCGTCATGCGAAACACGAGATCAGGGTCGTCTAGATATCGTTCAAGGACTTCCCTTCCTGACTGAAAGGCGCTGCACAAATCCAACTCGTCAGCGGTCAACTGTTCTGCGTACCGAGTTCCCAGTTCCTTGAGAAGTTCTCCCAAATCGGCCGAAGTTGGAGAGTTGTTCTCGGCTGCGGCAGTGTCCGACAGATAACGAACCACGGCAAGATGATTTTGATTATCTAGGGACAACAATGTCTCAGCAAATTGAGCCACGGCAGCATTTGTGGAAGCAGTCACTAACACCGGGGTTTTTCTTGCAATTAGGGCGGCTGCTAAAGCGCCCACAACAGTCTTACCAGTCCCAAACGCCGCCTGTATGGCGGCTATTGGCAAGTCGCTGAAAGCCAAGGCTAAGGCTTTGTGCTGATCCTCCGTGAGTACTATTTCTCTACCCTTAAGGCTGCAAGTGTAACCCTCATCTATGGGACCAAACAGCGCTGGTTCTTTTTCAGTTGCGCAATCCAAGAAACGCAGCCCGTAAGTGGTTTCTATTATCCGACTAGCAGTGGTGGACCGTTTGAGTTCCTCATACAAGTCCATTCTAGAGACACATTCGTAGGCAGGGTCGGCAGTAATGAGTGGCTTGCCGAGACGAACACAAATGTCTATAAAGGTGGCGCCGTCGAGCCGCCTTGCGAATTGCCGAACATTCTTCATGATGGAACCGTGAGACCAAGGAAAAGCACTAATGGATACAGCTAAAATCTTCGATTCAGAACGGTGTTCTATAGCGCGAACCTTTGTGAAGGCTATCGTAGATGATCCAGCAACCCACAAAATGACTGGGCGATTGACTGTCTAGCCGGCTTCGGTAGCCATCTCATGGAGTTCGAAGTCGATCATGATCGGACCAGCTGTCATGTTGGGAATAGACCCCGTAACCCAATGGGATTGACGGTCGTCGAACAAAGAATTAATTAAAGCAAGTGTCGAACACGCCACGTTGAATAAATCGCACATTTTCCGCATTGCCAGAGGTGTATCATAGAGAAATAATTGGAATCGACGAGCGCGATCCTCGAGAAACTCTACCTCCTGCGGTGGGAGATGGTGAACCGTGATTGGAAGGAGGCCTTCATCAGGATGCATCGGCATGAGTCGGCGAATCCATCGACACAACTAATTACGAGCTTCAACGGAGACCGGAGGTTCAGAGAAGCGAATGGCGCAAGAAACGTTATGACGTGATTCCCCCATGACCATTAGATTTTCGAACGCTGATTGCAAATTGAATCCACATACAGAAGGCCCTACTGCCACGGTATCCGGTGCCCCTTGGAAAGTAGCACGAAAGTGTTGAATCCTGTTCCGACGGACTGTGGTGAAAAGGACTATCCCGTAAATGGGCCTCTCTAACCGATGGGGGGTAACAAATGCAAATAAATCTGCTCGAAAGAAGAACGTCGATGTATTCTCGAGAGCCGTTGTGCGCGGATCGCGGGATTGCCTGAGCACTCCCTCCGGGTTCCTCAACGCTTAAACCGACGGTTTCACATCGTAAATCCAGACAAAATCCTTGACCGCTACCATGCCCTTATCAAAGCCCCGATGGTTTGAGAGTAAGTTGATACCAAAATTATCAAGGATGATGCAATGGAGTTCAAGGCGATCTGGCCCAAAGACGAAGAAATCTTTTGCCTCAAGAATTATTCCGGTTCCCCAACCAGTTGAAACAACCTGATAGAGCACTGGACGAACATTATTCAGCACCGGCGGTGCTAAGATAGTAGGGTGTTCACCTAGCGGCTGTCTTTCGAGATGACTTGTATCGGACTCGCGGTAGGTGTTAGAGAGCACTTGATGCATAACATGTTCGGAGCGTTGGCGAAATGCTACCGCATCTTCTATATGCTGTAATTCTATGAACGGAACAGGCTCCTCAAGATCTGAATTGAGTGATCCTAGGAAACAGTGAGCGAGCAAATTTCTGGTTAAGATAGCCCGGTTTAGGCAATTGACGATAGTGATCCAGAGACAAAACGTTACTCACTTGAAAATTCAGCTCGCGGAGGTGTCCCATGGGACGCGGAATACTAGATCAGCCCATGGGTGGAGGCCGCTTAGATAGCTACGATAACCGATAGGAGTCTTCTTTGGAAGTTCACCTGGTTGCGATCCTCGTTTCCGTTGCTTCACATTCTTGGAATCTCGCGTCGGGCGAGAACCTCGTCCGCGGCCAGCCCTCGCCGATACTCCCCAACCCCGCACTATCCTTGGTTCATTGACGGGAATTGAATCCATGCTACGCATGGGAAATGGATCAATAGGAACTAGAGGACTGTCAGCAAGCTCAGGAGTAGAAAAGGAACAAATCGGAGAAGGACTTCGCTTACGTGAACTAGATGGAATTTCGTCAGCGGTTGACAGATCTAGATTCGAAGACTTCCCGGACGAAATGTCCATCGGTTGAGAGCCTGAAGAACGGGAGGAATGAGAATGTTGGGACTCAGAATCCGAAGCTAACAGAGCCTCTTCCGAGAGGTCAAGATGGCTCGCTGACATGTGCATTTGGGCTTGGCTTATACCAGGAGAAAATGGCTGAGATTCCAGGATATCCGTAGCCGTGGCGGTCTGGCTCACGTCAGGTTGCGGCAAAGGTGGTGGAGGCGTTGCACAAACTGGCGGAACCGAAGAAGTGACCAAAGAAGAGGACGAGGTCAATACAGCAGGATCTGCCGAGTCCGACGTGTCCATCGGTTCGTCGTCGGCATTAGACTTGTCGCTTGGTTCGGTCGCTACGCGACTGGTTGAAGAGGATTTTTAAGAGAGGAAAGCGAACGAGATAACGAGGTAGAAGAAGATACGCCCTGAGCGAAAGCTGAGGTAAGGCTATCTAGGGACAAAGATAAAGTGGTATTAAATTTGTTGCTTGCTACGGCCGGTTCCCGGCAAGTAGAAGGTACAATGGACTTCCCTGAATCTGTGGGTTTGGACAAATTGTCGTCGTCGGAATCGTCCGCCATTGTGGAAAACGTTGAAGGAAGATTGTCGGGTTTACTCAAATTCTGAAAAACAAACCGTAATATGGGAAATACTATCAACGAGCACATTTGAAATTGAACGCGGATTATAATGAAGAAATTCGAGAACAGGAGAACTGGAATCGAGTGAAATGTACATGAAAACTGTGTAATTGAGGAAAGATATATAGATTTGAAAAGTAAAAATGAAACGGTAGCAGTAGAATGAGCTGTCGTGTCCAACATCAGCTTACGATGAAATCCGACGTGATCTGAAACGAGTGTCATAACGATGTGAAGGAGAAATCGGGGTTTCTTCCGTGGGAGCAGATACCGCATGCGAACGACCTGGAATAGTGACATCTGTTGCGTTAGTGTCTGTTAGCATTTGCTGCTCCTCGTCGGGTGTCCAGGGTGATGTGAAAACTGGACCCGAGAGCATGAAGCATTTCTTTACTTGATTCATGTGGACTCGTTTAGCGGGTGATTGTGGAGAGGAGACGCTGGTTATAGTCAAATGCGGAGGTTCTACTGCAAGTACGCGGAACTGGCCTAACCAAGGGTTTCGTAGTTTTCTGCGACAGGCCAATCTTGGGAGCAAAGTCTCTGAGGAAAACTCTATCGCCAACCTTGATATCAATGAGATGCAGATGGGTTTTGTCATGCTGGTGTTTAAATCGCTCCCGCTGTTGATCATTGAACGCTGCCGCCGACCGCCATGCAGCATGGAGAGTTGTAACTAACGTTTCCACGTATATCCCAGCGTCGTTATCTGTTGGCCAGTGCCGCTGAAGGTCCTGTTTAATGAGCAGATCTATATTAAAAATGGGGTCCCTGCCAAACATGAGAAAGAATGGTGTATTGTTAGTGCTTGTGTGGACGGTAGTGTTATACATAAAAGCGCACGCACTAACATACTTATCCCAATCGAGTTGATTTTCATTGATATAGGTGCGCAACATAGGATGAAAGGTAGCAAAAACCCTTTCGCAAGCACCATTGCCTTCATGATGATACGGCGTTGTAAAATATCGACCTATACGTAACAACCGGCCAATTTCGGAAACTACCTCACCTTGCAAATACGCCGCGTTATCCGATACTAGTTCTGTCATAGCGCCATATTTGAGAATGCACTCAGTCATCACCGCGTGCGCTACCGTGATCGCGGTACAGTCCGGTAATGGCACAGCGATAACGTATTTAGTAAAGTGATCAATCATGGCTAGAATATACTTATTACCGGACTCAGAGGTACGGATGGGCCCGGTGAGGTCAATGTATACTTTCTCAAATACGCCGTTAGCAGTGACCGGTATCATTAACTCTTTGTTCATTTGCTGAGCACGTTTACGTTGACATGCTTCGCAAGAACGTGCCAGGAGGAAAATGTTTTCAGACATATGCGGCCAAAAATACTTGCGGGCAATTTTGGCTAGAGTTTTGCGCCAGTTGAAGTGGCCTCCTGCCGAAGGACTAGAATGGAATGCTAGAAAGATTGGTTCTTTAAGCTTCTCTGGGACAACTAAGCGCTCATAGCGAAATTTGGAATTCGGATCCGCATCCACAAAATATAAGCACCCGTTATTTTTGATTACGCAAGACTCTGCCAACTTGAGCCAAGAACTTTTCTGTTCTTCGGGAAGGTCCGCAGGGAATCGATGAGTTTCCAGAAAAGTCATGATCGGGGAACAAAGCGAGTCAGCTTTTTGTTCAACCAAAGCATCATAAGGACGAATAGCTGTCAAAGTGCCCACATAAACAGTGGTTGGTCGGAGAGAGTAAGCAGCGGGAGACAATTTATTAATACTAACTGGAAACTCAACGATATCTGTGGATTCAGGGCTATCATCCTAAAAGCGAACATGTTTATTTACTGCACGAGAGAGGGCGTCAGCAACCACATTCAAGGAACCTTTCTGATACTCTATAGTTATATCGTAACTCTGCAATTCAACCACTCAACGCGCCAAGTTGTCATGAGTTTTGTTGTGTTTCAAGAGGTATGTAAGTGGGCGATGATCTGAATATACGGTAGTATGATTTCCGTATATGATGGCACGAAAGAATCTTAGCGCGCTAACAATTGCAAAAAGTTCAATATGCGTCGGGCTCCATTTTTGCTGCGATTCCGAAAGAGCTTTACTAAAATACCCAACGGCTACTAAACAATCGTCTTTACGCTTCTGAAATAGCGCGGCACCGACGGCAAGCTGACTACCATCCGTATGTAAGAAAAACTCCTTGTCCTCAGGAAATGCCAAACAAGGTTTGGAAAGCAGTAAGGTTTTAATACCTTGAAAAGCTTCGTCTTGTTCGGATCCCCAAACGAATTTTGCTTTGTTCTTGAGTAGCGCATACAGCGGAGCCGCGATAAGTGAAAAGTTAGCAATGAATTTGCGAAAGAAGTTGGCCATACCTATAAATCCTTTCACTTCCTTGATGGTCGTTGGAGTGGGAAAATCACGGATGGCCTGCAAATTGCGGTCCGCGGGGAAATAGGCATGTCCGGAGATTTCGTGGCCTAAAAACGTAATCTTAGTACGAGCAATCTCGGTTAGCTTCTTTCCCGAAACTTTTATGTTGAACTGGCGAAAACGGTAGAAGACTTTTCGTAGCGATTCTAAGTGACTAGGAAAATCTTTGTTAAAAATTATAATATCATCCAAGTAGGCTAAACAATTGTCTTCTAATCCTCCCAGTATGCGTGACATAGCACGCGAGAAATAAGCACCAGCGTTCTTGAGTCCAAAAGGTAGATAAACAAATTGATAAATTCCCCTGTGAGTGGCCCATCCACACTTCTCCTGACTTTCTGGGGAGAGTAATAGTTGCATATAGCCTGAAGCCAAGTCCAGGGTTGTGTAGAACTTGTGGCCAGCTACCTTGGCCAGAATGTCCTCTATTCGAGGGAGAGGATAGTGGTCAGGTATGGTAATATCATTCAATGGGCGAAAGTCCAAGCATACCCGAAGAGAGCCATCTCTTTTTCTCAGACGGTGTTGTGTACCCACGGCGTCACTTTCGACTATCCTCCCTGCCCGCAGCAGTTTATTGATATGATCATCTAACTCCTTTTGAAATTTCACCGGTATACGAGGTGGTCTGAAACGCATTGGTGGTATGTCGGAGGTTGTTCTGATAACTATAGAAGAATCCTCATAGGATCCAAGATCGTATGAATCTTGGGAAATTCTATCACCGAACTCTTGGAAAAGTATTCGCAATTGTTCTCGCTCCTCTTCCGAAACCTCTGCATGTGAGAGGTCTACAACAAAATTAGTGCGGGTATCGTGGCGTTTCGCCATATTCAAAGCCCCTAGAAACGCGTTATTGCTAGGCTTGCTTTATTTCCTTGATAAATGAGAAGTCTTCATCTAAGAAATATGGGAGAGCGGATGAAATTAGTTGGTCCTGATAAACTACTTGCGACGACGCGCACGGATTCGCAACAAGTACGTGGGATTTCCCAGATCTAATGATGGCTGGAGATACCATGAGATATTTGTCAGTAATTGTGGCTGGCTGCGATGTTAAAACCAGCGAAGAGGCATTGGAATACGAGAAACAAGGAAAAAAGTCTCAGTTTGCGGCGGGAGTACGGTAGTCTCGGCCACGCGAACAGGAACTGTCGAGTCAACAAGTGGTGCTGGAGTTGGAGCCGAGCATAAGATATTGATTTGTTCGCCAGCCACAGTAAAGAGCCTACGATTATAGCTAATGCACCAAGAAGGAAGGCGGGAAAGGAGATCATTGCTTAGTATAATATTGTAAGAGCCACCTGATTCCGGCACGCAGGGTGTTTCCGTGAAATATACTGGATGATTAAAAGTAAAAGAGCCAATTTGGAAACGAAGATGAGCTATGCCAATCAAATTGATTGGTATACCAGCCATATCCAAAGCTGCGGGTATATCACTTTCGAACAAAGCAAAGACGCCAAGCAATGATGCAGTGCTGCTCGAAGTTACCGTAATCACCGCGCCTGTGTCAATTAGAGCCAGAATATTGACATTATTAACCTTGATAGGTATCTGAGCGACAAAGAAGCTATCATCGCCACCTTTGAATCGCTGATCCAGATGTCACTCAGGATGTGGCCCGTCATCCTCGCAATCGGGATGTACTGACAGGACTCCTCCTGATTTGGCGTCCAGATTATCGCCGCCGATCCGTCTGGCATTACACAGTTGCCGGATTGGTACTGGCACTTACGCAAGTCGCCAACAGATGAGTCCGGGTAATCTGATCCGTGCCTCATATGGATAACCGTGTTTAGCAGATAGCAATTGGAGACCGATTTTGAATGGGTTACGCAACATCCAAACGGGGCAGAAGGCCATTCAAGCTGCAACTCATTCGTAGTTGACCAGGAGTCATCTCGCGCAGATAACGAACCATGCTCGCACTTATGATGCATGCGCATGTATTTACAAGCTTCTGCCGATACAATCTCATACTTTTCCGAGTAACGTTCCGATCGCGCGCCAAAGAAATTCACGGAGTAATAAGCGGTACGGGTAACAATTTTGCAGAGAGAGGCCGGTGTATCGTATCGCTGCGTATTAGGACGAAAGACCCGGATTGATAATGACTTTGGAATAGAATTGACGCGTGGAATGATGCGCGAACAGTTATAAGACAACGGCACCCGTGCGATCACATCAAAGGATTCTTTCGGACATAACCACGCCGGCGAATCAAATGATTGAACAAAAGAAATTAGCGAAGAAAGCAACACACATAACATCAATAATCGAACATCAGGAAGAGTCCTTGATTTTGCTTGAGGAGATGAGGAGAAGTAGTTATACGAGGAGTTTGCAAGCTCATCATTGCGCTTCACTAAAGTCGAAATGCGGGCTTCTGAATCATCAAGAGCTGCTTGCTTAGCGCACAAAGAAACAGATAAGTTTTTGATTCTCTCCTGAGCGTCCAAAAGTTCTTGCGAGGAATCTTGAGGAGTGATGTTCATTATTCTAGGAGATGACCTACGCAAAGAAGTACGAGGCGAACGATAACGATTGGTTGAAGAACGCGTACCTCCCGAGGAACGTCGAACTTTGGATGGGCATTGTTGTGCCATGTGGCCGAGTCCTCCGCAAGAATAGCATTGTGTTCGACTAGGAATACCGGGGCGTCGATTGTCTTGAAGCGGTCGTGGCGATATCCTTCCCTGAAAACGGCTATATCTAGGTGAAGCCCTTACATTTTGACGAGTAACTTTTTTAGGACCACGTTGTGATTGGGACCTTGGGGTTATGGTGTTAACGGGGATATTACGAGAGGCTGACAAAGAATGTATAGGATGATCAGTTACTGGTGACAACTCCTCCACAATTTGCGCTTTCTCCACCGCCTGCTGAAAGGTTGAAGGGTTGGCTAGCTCTACCTGATAGCGCACTTCCGATCGCAAACGGGCTACAAACTCTTCTAGCATTCGTTCCTGTAACCTAGCTGGATCCTGACCTGGGTTCGCCGGGCGTACTAGCTGAAAGGGTGAATCAGCTAATCATCCTTTGCGATCCGCAAAGGATGCACCTGATTCACCTGGCGCCTGTTTACAAACTGAAAGGGACCTGCGAGCCAAATTGCGCCTGTGGGGTCCTTCGTAATATCTTTCTAAATGCGCAACTACGGTATCGTAGTCTTGACGCTGCTCTGTCGTTAACTCCTCCACTTTGTCTCGTGCAGCACCGTCAAGACTCCCGATAAGATAGTTAGCTTTGAGCTTTGGTGTCAACGGTACGCTGCGCATATTCTGAATATCCTCGAAACGACGAAGCCAGACCGAAAACGGTGTGGGGTCCTTATTAGCGCCAGTGCAATAAGGTATCTCAGGTAGTCGAGAACCTTCTGATGATCGAGGGGTCCCGGGCAGCTGATCTATCCTTTGACCCACAGCATTGAAAGAATTATTAAGGTTAGTGATTAACGACTGATTACTATCATTCACTTGCCTTGCCAACGTAACGGTGGCCGCCTTCGCGTCCTTCCATGCATCTGTGATCGCCGATGCCGTTGCGTCCCGTAACGTCTTGACTTCGCGTCCAATGACAAACGCATCGTCAGCAACCTGACTGAAAGTCTGCTTGACTTGGCGAGCGAACTCGCATTCTTCTGCGGATGACGGGGCTTCAGCCCTGGACACTGACTGTGCACGCGATCGCTTTGGAGGTCTTGGAGATCCCATGGAATCTGAAACAACGAAATTCATAATGAGAGAGTCCTAGTTATTCAACACGTATCGATGTATAACGTATTAAAAGCACATCAATTATTCAGGGCAGTACGTGAGGGTAAATTCGAAATTAGCTTCACGCGAAAAACCGAGCGAGGAACAGACCGCAACGAGAACGAAGAAGATGACTGGTAGGAGGGTCTTCGCAACGTGGAGGAGCAAAAAATCGGCTGAATCAGAATTTCACAAAACAAAAGGGCAAATACTGTAGCTTCCAAACAAAGAAAAAGAATGGGAATCACGTGAAGTTGTATTCAGATGAAAAGCTGTTTACTACAGAAATACGGTAGTTTCAATTTGAAAAACCTAAGTACAAGCGTCTGCATGGGAAAGAAAAGCTTACATTCAAAACACTACCGTAACCTGTTTTGCTCGTAACTGCAGAACATACTAGAACAACAAGATGCTGCAGAATCAAAAAGATTTGAAGAACAAGCTAGCTTGCAACAATGGCCAAGAGTAAACGCATATGGCCATGTGTGACGAGGACAGAATGAAGATGAGTAAGTAACATATGGCAAGAATCGGGGCGTTCCGCCACACTCGCGATTGCGCAAGACCAGAGCGCATAGAGAAGATCGAGCAATCACATAGAATAACAGAATATAACTAGCACTTACGATGCGGACAAGTTGAAAAGTTATCTTATATATAAAGCTGAATGTCTGTCTGTATGTATGTCTGTATGTCTGTCTGTACGTATGTGCGGAATAGAAATTTTTATTTCTGAACCGATCGGGACCAAACTTGGCACACATATACTTCGGGGCAGGGAGCGTGTCATAGGCTACTACTTCTGTCTCTCGCGTAGCCCATGGAGGGTTCAATTCCCTCCCGGGCCGAAAGCTTTGCAACGTTCCAGCGGACTACTGCATGGTATACCATGCCTACCCTCCGTTAATACTCCCATTTGCAAGCCGGGACGCGCCGAATCCGTCGCTTATTGGGGGGTTCTCTTGGCCCTCCTGCCTCTCGAAAGGGGGGTGGGGGGGGGGGGCCCAACGAAGCTATAAAAAGTCCCGGGTTTTGGAGGATCTATGATAGAAATAATGTACATTTCCCTGAAACTTGGAAAGCAATAAACTGCCGCTTTATTTTCCTTATGCACCAGGGGCCCTAGCTAATTATCAAATGCAGATATCTGTCTCCAAATCAAAAGTCTTAGCGGCATGCCGAATATTGTAACTGCATAACCCCACACAACTGCATTTAGCGGCAACGACGGATAAGCGAACATGATCCTCAGCACAACGAGATTTGCACGCGCGCAGAAAACTCAACCAAAAATGGCCCCTTCAAATAACCAGAACCGAAGCTTCGGAACCACAATAGGCGTTGAAACTCGTTCAAATATGTTGCAGACGTCTGCGTGTACCACGCCAGTAAACAAAGGCATGCCAAACAAAAGGAGATCTCGGAGAAACTCCAAAACTTGCAGATGCCTCTGTCTACCATTCAAATTGTCGGCTTCCAAAATGGCCAGTTTTCGAAGTCGACAAATAACGGACTTATTGAACAAAACTCAACTCACCCAAGCTGACCGTCCTTCCCGTCCGACTATCCACACTCGCTGCTACCAGTAAAATAATGTGCCCTTCGCTGCTAAGCTACACGTTGAGAGTAGACCGGTTCATTATTCTAACGACAGAAGGCAGTATAGGAACATAAACAATATCAATCTACTGGATCCTGATAGGTTGCAGAGTTGACGCTGATGACGGGGCAAACAGCAGCCCAGGGATATCAGAGGCGCCGCCGGTCGGTTACCGGACCTTGGAGTTTCTTCCCGAACCCCGCGCGTATCGGCCACGCCCTAAAAAGCATGACTCAGCACCGAACTCAATAGGGGTGCTTGTGCTCACAAAACGTCTTTTTTTACACATGTCAAAGTCAACGAATTTATAGCGTTCAAGCCCGAAGAGACAGTTATGGGTGGGGTATGTAGAAAGTTGATGCGCGCTTACGTTGCTTGGGACGCAGTGCACATTGTGCTTGAATCTAACAACGAACTTTTTTTGTATCAGGCCGTGGGCATACCTCCGCGACTTTAGACGACGCCACGTGAACTGGCAATTTGCCAGATGTCTTCAAATTCAGCTGGCAAATCTCAAATGCGCAGCACGCAGGTTGATAAATGCGCTAGTTTTCGAACATTTGAACACCTTTTAGGGTGAGTCATGCACAACTGGACTATTGCCAAATCGCGTCGCAACTGAAATTGCTTGAGGTATGCCCAGGGCTTTATACTTTTGCGAAGTTGTAGACGCTCGTCTGCATATCCTAGCGAATCATCGTGGCGTGGCGAGACCGTGAACATCATTAGTAGAGATGGAATTCAATTTAAACTGAAGCAGAGCTCGAGAGCGTGTTTGAAGGCAATGCTTCTAATTCAGCACAATCAAGTGCGAGGAGAAGCACGGAACTTCTTTAAAACATGATGATTAAAACAAGAGTTACTATACCAGGGTTCTCCACTGCTTTCACCTCATGAAAACGATGTCTAGCTTATTTATATGCCACCATGGAGACTAATCTGCTCATCTTTAGTTGAAGCAGCAAAGGGTGAAGCTTGAAAAATGAAGCTTGATTTCCGCATATGTCTTCCTCAAAAAAGTGCTTGATGTTATTTTGGAAAATCGCTTTAGGATGAGAAAATTGCAATTATTAGGCTGGAAATTAGGTTTTGCAACTGGTTTCATAACTTCACTCTCTTTGGATATGGTGCACTCAAACTTTGGCATTATATAGAAAGCAATGTGATCTACAAGCGAGCACAAATTGTCCAAATCCTGAGCACGAAATAGAAAAGTTTCAGGCGTTTTTCGAAAACTAGTGAAATTTGAAAATTTTTGGGGTTTCAAGCTAAAATGAAGTCGTTGGCAGCCTAGACCATGCGCAGTAATCCGGATTCGTTTACAGATTACTGCTGGAGGTTGACTACTTTGGTCTGTTAGGAAAGAAACAAAATTTAGGGGCATGTCGAGTTTTGGCGTCCTCATAAAGTCGAACGAGTCGATGTACGCAAGAGCTTCTGGGGACGACCTTCAATGACTAAAGAGTCCAAAGCTCAAATTCCGCCGAGACTTTACATACTTTACATAGTATTTGACCTGCCAGACGCGAATATCACATTTATTTGTTGAATCAACGCTTTTTTCCTTGTTTAAGGTGAGACCTCATATCCTACACCTACAAAAAGCCCTTATCACGCAATTTCACTATCGTTTTCGTGATCAGCATGTCGGATAACACCCCTATGCCAGGTTTCAGCCAAATCCGGCAAACTTTGAATTTTTCCCCTTCATACCATGCACCTACCGTTACCCTCACTGCGACGTCAGAATTTGATAGGACAGCAGCTGCACTTGTAGCTTACGTAATAACCAACTCAGTGGCAATTTGAGTGTGCCATGTTGAGTGAGGGGGAAGTTATGAAACCAGTTGCAAAACATGGTTTCCAACCTAATATTTGTTACCTGATTTTAATTTATGGCTGGAATATCCGCGTAAGGTAAACTCTTCTACTCTAAAAATCTTTGCATGCACTCTGTGCTCTCATTGGGTACAAGAAGGTTGGTGCTTTCAAGAAAGTGGACACTACATATAGTGACACTTTCTGAAGTTATCACCTAAATCTTACCACGCAAACTTGAGAGGATGCGTTATCTTGCCGAACTTCTCATTGGAAAGACGAAGGTGGATGTAAAGAGATGCAAATGTAATTCTTCCTGTTTATCCATTTGAAAATTGTGGCTATATGTGTCAAAATAGAGGAAGGGAAATGACGAAAAATTTGTAGGTGATTATTATCTGCATCCTAATCAGAACGATGACTCCTTTCTGTTCACTTTATGGTTGCAATTTGAAACTGCTTGCTGTATTATGAAAATTTTTTCTCATATAAACAAGAGTATTTGAAAGTCTAACAACTTCCTAGTATGAAATATAGAAGCTTGCATGATCGCGAGAGTCGGACGTGCATAAGGCCATGCAATGGTCACCACCAGGGTTGAGCAAGGGGTCAGGCGCAGACCGGCCGAAAACGACCCCCCCCCCCATGGTCGTGCATGATCGCGAGAGTCGGACGTGCGTACGGCCATGCAATAGCCACCACGCACGTCCGATGTCACTGAGGCAGATGCCAAACTTATCCTGTTCAAGCCGTCCGGCTCACTCATTTGCTATTGGTTAGATCAATGCAATGGCCAATAGCGGAGGGGTGAACGTAATGAACCTGTTGAAGGGTAAGTCTGGCTCTAATACCTGAGTGTGGGACGACATCGGACTTGCGCGGCGCCATGGCCGTACGCACGTCCGACTCTCGCGATCATGCAGGCCTTTATATTAGGAATTTTGCGGTCAAATTTCGCGGTCCTTCAAGCACCTATTTGTAGAGCTGAATTCAGCATAGATTTCACTATAGAGGGATCCATATATCACCAATCGCTCCATTTGCATACGATCGCGATAGAAATCAAGAAATGAGGCCTTGAATACATTTATTTTATCTGAATGTTTTATTCGAATATCTTATTCGAATTTGTATATGAATGAAATTCGAATTCAAATTAGTCGAGCTTGTTGCAGAGCCAACTGTTGAGTATCAAGCTCGCTTCGTCTGCATTGTTTTTCGCAAAACACGATAATGCATCGTTTTGCAGCGGTTATCATCTTTGAACTGTATGGAAACCCGCATCTCTCCATCTGCTTTGATAGTTAAAAATATAGGTGTGGAATTCATTGATTGCTTTTTCGATCAATGAGACAGTTCGCACTGCTGTTGGCACCAAATCTGCAAAAAAAGACAATCTTAAAAATTAACTTCATGGTCCGCGTTCATATAATGGAAGAGTGTTGGCATGCCTGCTTCACTTTCCTTGCGTTGCTCATGCAAGGGTCCACATTAGTGAGCACTCTTGCTTGTAAAATCATATTGCACTCCTGTTTTTCAT